CAGTTGACCTTGATGGCCAAAATGACCCATTTTCAAGGTCAAATGAGTCCCAGAGAAGGTATACCCCCCATTTTGCCGATTTTTGTGTGATAGTCTATGGATGTGTGGTGATTCGGAATTACGATGTCATTTTTACCGAAATGTTTCATAGACTCCCGTTGAGACATTAGTTATGGACCTAGTTGGTCCATACGGTCAAAACGGTCTATTTTCAAGGTCTAACGAGCCCCGAAGCAGGTAACACCCCCTCCCTCATCCTAAGTTTTGCTCATTTTCGTGTGCTATAATACATGGATTTTTTGTGATCTGAAATTCCGACGCCATTTTTACCGAAAATATCATGAATGTCCGTCAAGACATTAGCTATGGATTCATTTCACCCCAACAGCCAAAACAGCCAATTTTCAAGGTCAAACAAGCCCGGAGCAGGTAAACCCCTCATTTTTGCTGATTTTTGTACGCTATATAGTCCACTAAGACCTTAGCTATGGATCAATTTGGCCGTTACGGCCAAAACAACCCATTTTCAAGGTCAAACGAGTTCTGAAGCAAGTAAATCCCCTATTTTACCAATTTTTGTGTGCTATAGTCCATGGATTTTTGTTGGCCCAAAATTTCGACGTCATTTTTGTCAAACTTTTTCAAGTACGTCCATAAGATCTTAGTAATGGACCTTGTTGGCCCTAATGACAAAAACGACCCATTTCAAGGTGAAACGAACATAGAGCAGGTAAATCCCCTATGTTGCTTATTTTGGGGTGTTATAGTTCACCATCTTTTTTGTGATCCCAAATTGGGAAGTCATGTTTTCCAAAAAATTTCATAGACGTTCGGTAAGACCTAATTTATGAAACCAGATGGCCCTGGTTGCCAAAACTATCCATTTTAATGGTCAAACGAGCCCCAGAGCAAGTAAACCCCCCATTTTTACCAATTTTTGTGTGTCATAGTCTATGGATTATTGGCGATCCAGAATTTCTGATGTCATTTTTTCCAAAACTTTTTCATGGATGTCTGTTAAGACAATAGCTATGGACAAGTTGGCTCATACAACCAAAATGACCCATTTTTAAGGTCAAACGAATATCAGAGCATGTAACCCCCCCCCCCCCCTTCATTTAACTTATTTATGTGTGCTAATAGTGCATGGATTTTTGGTGATCCAAAATTTCGATATTATTTTTACCAAAAAATTTTATGGACGTTCGCTAAGACCTTAGATATAGACCTAGTTTCCCCTTATGGCCAAAACAACCCATTTTATAGGTCCAACGAGTCTCAAAGCAGGTAAACCCCCTATTTTGCTAATTTTTGTGCTATATATATTCCGTGGATTTTTGGTGATTCAGAATATCCGATGTTAGTTTTGCCAAAAATTTTCATAGACGTCCGTTAAGACCTTAACTATGGACTCATATGGCCTTGACGGTCAAAACAATCGATTTTTAAGATCAAACGAGCATCGAAGCAAGTAAATCCCCATTGTATTTCGTATGCTTTAGTTCACCTTTTTTTTGTGATCCAGAATTCTAACATCATATTTTAATAAAGCTTTCATAGATGTTGTTTATGACCTTAGTTATGGAGCCAATTAGCTCTGACAGCTAAAATGGCCTATTTTCAAGGTCAAACGAGCCCCAAAGTAGGTAAACTCCTTATTTTTGCTGATTTTTGTGTGCTATAGTTCATGGAGTTTTGGCGATCTGTAATTCAGACGTAATTTTTGCCCAAACTTTTAATAGACATACGTTAATACCTTAGTTATGGATTCAGTTGGCCCATACGAATAAAACAGCACATTTTCAAAGTCAAACGAGCCATGGAAAAGCCTTATCATTTAACCGATTTTTGTGTGCGATAGTTTACTATCTTTTTTGATGATCCGAAATTTTGACATCATTTTTCTTACAATTTTTCATGGACGTCCATTAAGAACATAACTATGGATCCAGTTGGTCCTGACGACCCAAACAACCCAAATTCAAGGTCAAATGAGCCCTGGCAGGTAAACCTCCAATTTGGAAATTTTTTGTGCGTTATAGTCCATAAATTTTTAGCAATGTGGAATTCAGATGTCATTTTTACCAAAATTTTTCATGGACGTCCATTAAGACTTAACTATGGACCCAATTGGCTCATGCGACCAAAACAGCTCATTTCGAAGGTCAAACGAGCCCCAAAGTAGATAAAACCCATATTTTACCCATTTTTGTGTGTTATATCCCAAATTCTGACGTCATTTTTTTCATAATGTCTCATGGACATCCGTTAAGACCTTAGATTTGGAGTCAGCTGGCCTTGACGGCCAAACGGTCCATTTCCAAGGTCAAAAGAGCCCAGAGCAGGTAAGCCCCCCATTTGACCAATTTTTATGTGATATAGTTCACCATCTCTTTTGGTGATCTGTAATTACACGTAATTTTTACCAAAAAATTTTACGGGCGTTGGTTAAGACCTTAGTTTTGGTCCTAGTTGGCCCTGACGCCAAAATAATCCATTTTCAAGGTCAAACGAGCCCTAGAGCAATAAACACCCTTTTTTTACCGATTTTGTGTGCTATATTCCATGTATTTTTGGAGATACGGAATTCCAACTTTATTTTGCTGAATTTTTTCATGGATATATGTTAAGACCTTAGTTATAAACCCAGTTGGTCCATACGATCAAAAGGACCCATTATCAAGGTCAAATGTGTCCCGGAGCAGGTAAACCCCCTCATTTTATCAATTTTCGTGTGTCATACTCCATGGAATTTTGGTGATGCAGAATTCTGACGTCATTTTTGTCAATTTTTTGTGGACGTCTATCAAGACCTTGCGTATGAACCCAGTTGGACTTGACGGTCAAAATGACCCATTCCTAAGGTCAAACGAGCCTCAAAATAGGTAAACCCCCCATTTTGACGATTTTTCTGTGATATTGTCCATGGATTTTTGGTGATTCAGAATTTCGATGTCATTTTCACCAAAGTATTTCATTAACACCCGTTAAGACATCAGTTATGGACCAAGTTAGCCATGACAACCAAACCGACCCATTTTCAAGGTCAAACAATTCCCTGAGCAAACCCCTCATTTAGCAGATTTTCGTGTGTTATATACTTCACCATCTTTTTGGGTGATTCGGGTTTCCAACATTAGTTTTTCCAAAAAAATTCAGTGACGTTCGTTAAGACCTTAGTTATGGAACAAGTTGGCCCTGACGGCTAAAATGACCCATTTCAAGGTGAAACGAGCCCCGAAGCAAGTAATATATGCATAGCCTATGGATTTTTGGTGATCCAGAATTTTGATGTCATTTTTGTCAAAAAAACTTTCATAAACATCCATTAAGACGTAAGCTCTGGATCGAGTTGGCACATACTATCAAAACGGCCAATTTTCAAGGTCAAATGAGCCCCAAAGTTTGTAAAACAAAAAACTCAGTTTTGTCGATTTCCGTGTGAAATTCACCATCTTTTTTGGTTATAGATCTGTTGAGTTTGATCTTTTTTCTGAATGTACACATTTTTATTATAGTTTTTCCTGCAGAAAAGGAGCCTGAAGGAACATATCGGGATTTCCTTACTATTGATCAAGGACATGTCTCATTTTTGTACTTCTCCAGTGTTCATGTTCTTTTGGACATGAAAATCATTTGCTATCTGTTAGGTTTTAGCAAAATGTGAATGGGAAAACTATAGAGAAAAATGGAAAAGCGAGGGAACCAATTTTGGAGGAAAAATGAAAAGTAATTTGTCGAGTGCAATTGAAAGGTCATTTCTTCCATATTGGTAGAAGAAAGGAATTTGTTGTCCTTATGTTAGGAAACACTTCATGTACTTCTTAAAGGGTTAAGAAGAAGGTGTCACCTCACGACGTCGTCGCCGACTTTGGCTTTGGCAAATGATGTGATTGATTGATAAATTTTTTTGACAAAATTTATTTAATCAATTTCTTTTCTCTTAGAAATTAATTCAGAATGTTAGTTAAATAACAAAATTGATTTTGGCGTAATGGAATTTATTTGAAATTTGCCTGCAACAGTAATAACAATCTGATTTCGGAAAAGTCGTTATTTTTCCCAAAAGACACATTCTTCCGAAAAGTTGTTATTTTTCTCAAAAGACAAAACTTTCTGTAAAAATAACGAGTTCATTTTTCATTTTTTCAAACACTGAAAATCTTTTCCTTCTCTCTGCATACATTTTCTCTCATAAACAAAAAGTGTCGATCGACTAAGACTATGTGTGGCTTGTTACTATTCTTACGTTTGCTGAAGTTATCTTGGGAGAAATTAAATTTCTTAAGGGATTAAAAGTTTTTCTTTCTATTTCATCTTGTTTCTGTTTCTGTATTTTTGACTAACCTTAATACACGTAATAACACTATCTTCTTCTCTAACATTTGTATTTATCTAGTAATGCTTTTCTTGAGTTGTTCTGGTGTCTCCCTTGTCTTTTGGGTTCTGATAGTCTTTTTCTTCATGTGGTGTATTTCTGCAAGTCTGCTTCTGTCTCCTTGATTTAGTTTGCTTTGTGATTGGAGACTTCATATTTTTTGGGTGGTAAATTGGAACCAGGAGCTGAATCATGAACCACCTTCCTTTTTTCTAAGAAAATCTTTTGGTGCTAACTATAACTGAAGTATTAGATTCTATCTCACCTGAATAAGTAGTAGTAACTGTAGCATTTATGGAGGCATCATTTAGATTCTATATCATGCATGTTTAAATAGAATAACCATTATCTTGTTTATTTTATTTTGGTTCTAATCTTTTCTAGGTTATGTAGATTAAAAGGTTCATCCAAATAATTTGAATAATTCTTTTTCTGAACTTTATGTTATCATGAAGTTATGAATGATGAGTAATTTGGTGTCCTTGAAGGTAATATAGTTGGTACTTTTCCTATAAGTTCAAGTACATGAATTGAAAAATCGAAGAGTCGTTGCAAGCACATCTAGTTGTGCTTGCTTCATTATAGTATTGTACACATACCACCTTTTTCAACCAGAAGCATACACAGCTCAAGTTCAATCTTCATTGTTTATAAATGGAGTCAATTCCATGAATCAGTAATAGAATCCCCTGGCAACCAGAAGGAAGGACAAACATTTTGCAGTCTAAGAATAGTAAGAGTAAGGTCCCCTAAAAAATGGAAAAACTAAATGCTTCTGAGCTGGTTTCTATGGGTTCTCTCCAATGGGAATTATTCGCGAAAAACAAAAGAAGGGGAATATTGAAAAATATCTTTGTTCGATTCCATCTTGTAATGAAAATCCATGTTTCATGTAAATTAGTAATCCTCTGTTTGATGATCCATCCCTCTTTGACATCAAGGTGATTCTAAATTTTTAACGAACTTCTTCGCCTGCCAAAAAATAAGAAATAAAGGGTAAGCCACTTATTTTTCAAAGCCTAATGGAACAAAGTGTTGCCAAGTGAACAGGAAGCTACTGGAAATTGAGAACGCCTCTCGTTGAAGCAAAACATGTGCTAGTCTGGGATAGTAATCTGGCATAAAGTTTTATCAACAATAGTTTACCTGCTCCAATGTTAGAAACATAATGACATTCCACGATCCCAAGCGTCCAAAATTTGGGATAAAGCCTTTATAGAAAGCCAAAGGCCCCTGCAAACATAAAGGCCAACAAGACAAGTGTCATTTTTAATGTCATTACACAAAGGTTGCTGTTGGCAATGAACTGAAAACTACACAAACAAAAAACTAATAGCAGGGGAAATTTGACAAAATAGGGAGCTGGTTTTAATAAAAATTTAAACTATCTTGAGAGAAATGAGAGGTTATGTTGTTTTGGGTAGAGTTCTGCATCTTGTAAGAAGCCAAGATAAGTTATTTAAAAAAAACAAGAGGAAAATTTATGTCTGCAGAACGGCTGGATTCTTCAATAACCAATAGAGAGGCCAGATGATGAACTCACATCATTCTTCAATGTCTTGACAAAACAATCAAGAGTGTTTTTGTATGCGGAATCTCCCATCATTCTTGACTTTACCTGCATCCACAGTTTACCATGTCAGTGCTTCATGGCTATGCAAGAATTATCAACAAAATTAATCTAATAGGTTTTTACAAGTCTACGGATATTGCAACTTTACATGGATGAAATTAGAAGACAGATTAAAAATGGTGATCTAAAAGATTTTTAGTATTGAATAAAAATCACCTAACCAAAATATAAGAAGTATTTTGGTGATTGGTGAACTTACTAAGAACATGAATTTGGAAAAAAAAATTGTATTACCATCATACATGACCAAGTAACAATATATCAGTACTATTGACCCCAGTTCTACTATGTTTGATTCCAGGAAGGGGGAGGAAAGAGTGCAGAAAAGAAAAACTAACTTACCTCTCCCTAAAAGAATTATCTATATTTGTGTATGATTCTCTCTATGGCTGAATAGAAGTAAAATAGACAGGCTTCCACCCAATTTTAGGACGGATTATCCCTCTTATTTATGTTTTACCAGTGATCCTCTTTTAATTACAAAACATCCCCTTAACACTTCCAAGGTTACTTTAACCTTTAATCGCCCCGACAGGCTTCCACCCAATTTAGGACGGATTATCCCTCTTTATTTATATTTTACCAGTGATCCTCTTTTAATTACAAAACAATCCCCTTACACTCCCAATGTTACTTTCAACCTTTAATCCCTCCTCCATTTACCCCAGCCAAACTAGAGATTTATTATTGTGCAAGCACTGCACAATACTAAAGAGAACTCGCAAGCAGAGGACTTCAAACTCACAAGATGAAGGTGTGTGTCTAACAGGTTAGATACTTTTTCATGCAAAGTAAGACTATATGCATAACATTTCCCCTATGTGTCCAAGAAGATCCTCTATTTGGGCAAGAAGATCTAAAATATTAACAAATATTACTGAATCATGGGTAGCCATCAGATAGGACTAAAAGAAAAGCAATTCAAATAATAAGGAACATAGAAGATACCACATCAACAGGGGACCCTATGCAAACTGCAAAAAATCCAGCTCCAAGCCCCGCAATCAAATGAGTAACAACATTGTCTGTGAACCCAGGAATCCTGAGAACAGCCTGCACAGAAATATTTAAAGAACGACAAGTCAAAAGATTGACAGCATAAACATCCAAATCAAGAAAATACCACATTACTGTACATAAAATGAGGTGGTAATAAGAAATTTATGGTTTCTCTACCTCCTTCACTTGATCATAACTTGCTAATTCAGCTGCATTGATGATGGCATTCCGCCCAATATTGGGTCCAAGACCAGTCCACAGAGCTCGAACTCCTTCCTAAAATCAAGGGGTTAAAAACAAAATGCGAAGAGGTTAAGATAAGAGTTAAAATAAGAGTCTTTTTTGTGGGGAGAACTATTGACTCAACGTGAGTTAACTCAAATTTTCACTAGTGAAACCTGTTCTATTTTCATTATTTTGCAAGTGGTCCAGTAAGCTGCTGACCTTGGAGTTTAGATTGATTTAAATGAAATGGAAATTTTCATAATTTCCTAACATTTCCAGGAGAACAGAAACTACACGGAGAAGAAAAGCACTACTCTTTTCTCCGGGAAGGATGAACAAATACACCAAAATTAGATAAAGAAGGAGAAAGTTGAACAAGGAATCAGTTATCTAATAATAGGCCAACAAAGGAATCATTAAGAAATGTTATGTCTCCAATTCTGGGGTCATAATAGTTGTTAAATGTTACATACTAAAGGCAAATACTTTTGCAGATTGTATGCCTGCTTTATTGGTAGACATTGTGGGACTTCAAATAGCAACACGGATTATTGTTTAGGTTGTTTTGAATTTCAATTCAAGGGGCAAATTAGCTCCAAGTCATGATCCAAAGTAGGTGTACACAATTTCACAACCCTACCTGCCGTTAGTTATCATAATTTTGGTAAATAATTGAGCTAGACAAGACATATTACCTGTTTCACTATAGTTGAGTAAGCATTTAGAGCTCCAGAATAACGCCTTGGCACGCCTGCTGGCAATTTCCCTTCAGCTTGAAGACGTACTTTAACTAGATCTGTAGGATTTGCAACTGTAATGCCCAACGCACCTATTTGACAAAGAATAACCAAATTACTTTAAAATATATTAAAATACCAAATTACTTAAAAACATTTTGAAATACCAAACAGCAAAAAGAACAATACAAGGAAAAACAGAACATCCGTTATTGATAATCAAACACTGAATTTCTAGTTCCTATCGGGATGTTTTCAAAATGGAAATAAAAGCTCTACTATCTTACTCTTGAGCAAACTGATGATAAACAAAAAACATCTAAAAGGCACTCACCAGTTGTAAGTGCAGCAAGTATTTTCTTAGACAATGGCACATCCCCAACATGATCTTTGCCAACATATAAGTTTTTAACCTGCTCACCAAGCAAAGAGTCCGTAAAAGACCAAAAACCACAAAATAAACATGTAGATGTTGTAAGCTACGCTAGAAATGATAACTTACAGGTTCATACATCCCAATCCGAAGACCTCCGTATATACATTGACGATGTAACCCAGGTACGATACCCTTCCATAGTGAAGCTACTCCTTCTTCCTTTGCAATGGTCCCAACAGTACCTAATAATCCCCTATATTTAGGTAAACCTAGCCCATCCCCTTCAACTGCCTTCTTTTGAAGCTGAAGTCTAACTTTAGCAGTATCCAATGGTAAAGTACACGCCTGGAGAAACAGAATTGTGTATGAAGGGAACAAGATTAACAGGCAATGAAGGAATCATCAACAGGAACAATAGCACAGCATGCACACTTCAAAAGAATCTACTACATGTCTACAACATACATGCCGGATGACCCAAAAGACGGCATCAAAACTTAAAGAAACCTCATTTCCTACAACCATAAGCAACACACTTTTTTATTGGAAACCACATATGTAATCAAGGCCTAGCTTCATGAAAAGCAATAGAAAGAAAACTGATTCCTCCAAATTTAAGCAAGACATGTTTTTTCACAAAAGTATTATCACAATCAAGTCCACCAAATTTCTACAAGCAATTATTTTTAAGGAAGCATGAGTACAAATTTTTTTGTACCATCATCACCTTGTTTAAAGGTCATCTGGTATCCCCTTTCCCTTCTTAACAGATGCTATAGTAAGGTGATTTTTCCCTTCTTAACAGATGCTATAGTAAGGTGATTAATCTCTTAACTAAAGATAGAACAAACCAAGCCTCACTTACTTCTAGGAGGATCAATTGTTTCCCTACTGACCCTCCAGTGTGACTCGAACCCTCAATCAAACCTCACTTATCTGCCGAAACAGATTCCCCACCCCCTTAAAAGGAGGATCAATAGAATTCCTACATACCCTCCAGTGTGAGTCGCACCTCCAACCAAGCCTCACTCATCTGCTGAAACAGATGCACCACCCCCTAAAAAGGAGGATCAATAGTGTTCCTACTTATCCTCCAGTGTGACTCGAACCTCCAAACGAGCCTCACTTATCTGCCGGAACAAATCCCCCTAAAAGGACGATCAATAATGTTCTCACTTACGTCTTACCCTCCCGCATGACTCGAACACTCAACCAAGAGACTCATTTATCTTCCCAAACAGATTGCACCTTAATACAAACATACAGCATTAGGAGATCAAAACAAAATTTAAATTTACCAGCAAAGCAACCCAGTAAAGGATTTAACAGAGGATTATAAACTCATAAACACTTAACAGCTCAATGGGATCAGCAATTCCCCAATCCAGAAACCAAAAAAGAAAAAAGAAAAAGGAACAACCCCATTTCTCCTATTCGAATCATCAAAATCTTAGAAACAGATATAAGACTGCAAATTTCAAGAAAAGATTGCAAAAAAGAGATTAGATAGATGGAAGAATTACCTCAGCGAAACAAGCAGCAAAGGCGCTACTTGCGAATATTCCGGCGAATGAGATATCCGATTTGCCGCCGTGATCTCCTCCTCCCATGACTAAATTGACCCAAAAAAAACAAAACAAAGAGAAGCTAAAAGGGTTCTACTAGATGAGTACAGATGATCACAGAGCAAGATATTGAAGAAGAAGAAATGGGTATGTAAAAAATGGGGTTTTAGGGGCAATTATATAAAGATTTTGCAGAGAATCTTGGGAAATGCGAAAACGGGCTGCTGCTGTGCTTGTCCTACGCAACGACCATTGCTGTCATTTACTACTAATATTTCATAGGTTTTACTTGCTCAGTCAGCACGAGTCTGTTTTCTTTCCTATTCAAATTGTTGTTCCCGGTAATTAAAGATTTTGAGTTTGAGTTATATGTATTTCATTAAATAATATTTTTTTTATTTTAAAAAGAATGTTTATATTTAAAAATTTTGAGTTTGAGTTATGTATCTTATTAAATAATATGTTTTTCGTTTCAAAAAGAATGTTACTATTTCCTTTTAGTTTATTTTTTAAAAAGAAAATTGATCTTTTTTCTTTTTCGACAGTAATTTAACTTTAACTTTCCACATAGCAAGACCACAAGATTAAAGGATACGTCGATATCTTTGACATAACTTTAATTTAAAATCACAAGATTAAAAAGTCTTCTTTCTTTTCTTAAACTCTGTTCCAAGTCAAAATAGATTATTTTTTTTTAAATGGAGGAAGTAAATATTTAAATTATCGAAATTTTATAATATGTGATATAAATACTTAACACAAAGTTGATCTTAGTTTTATTTTTCCAAAAAAGGACGGGGATAAGGAAATAGGTAAGATAAATTATAAAGTAAAGAATCGATTATATAAAACTTAGCCAATTTACAAAAAAAAAAAAACCTATTTTTTTTTCTTTAAGAGAGGAAGGGTAAACTCATGTTAACAAAAGGATAGAAGTGTGAAAGACGAATATCCTTACATAGAAGGTAATAAAATAAAAATAATACATATATAATAATAATATGAAGCTAAAGATGAATAAAGGCAATAATATATTTGCAAGTTCATCCACTCAACCATGTGCTTTTGACCTAATTATTTTATTAATTAGAATAATGAATAAAGCACACTTTATTAGATAATCAGAAATTGGTTGGAGCTTGCACATATGCTGATTAGATCATCATTAATCTATCTAACATTTAATTAAGGATGTGTAAGCGTTACTCTTTCCTATCGAATATACGGCTTGTCATATATTCAAGGGCCATGTTGAAGTCCACCTATTTCACATGGTAGATTTGTTAATTGTGATGAAACGATCGCGATGTTTCAAATATGTTATTTAATTATTTTATATATTATTTTATTAATATATATAATAATATTTTTTGATAAAAAATGTCTAATTAAATATTTTTACTATAAAATACCTGCACTCCGTGCATAGACTAAAGTATGATGAATAATCAAATTAACTAATGTCTAATAATATGAATATGTGATGTGTTTAGTTGGAAGAAAACATTTACTAGAAACAACACAAAACGAGGGTTTCGCTCGTTATAGGACTTGACCAAACATCTCATGACACGAGCTGACGACAGCTATGCAGCACCTGTATGAAAGTGAGTACCATCCCGTTAAGGACAGGTTTTCTTGTTCATATGTCAAGGGCTTGTAAGGTTTTGCGTGTTGTATCGAATTAAACCACATGCTCCACCGCTTGTGCAGGCCCCCGTCAATTCCTTTGAGGTTCGGTCTTACGACTGTACTCCCCAGACGGAGTGTTTCACGCGTTAGCTGGGCCCCTGATCCGCGTAGACCAAGGGCGAACACTCATCATTTACAGCATGGACTACCAGAGTATCTAATCATGTTTGCACCCCATGCTTTCGCACCTCAGCGTTGGTAGGGACCCAGAGAGTTGCCTTCGCTTTTGGCGTTCTATTTTCTTATTTTCTTAAGTTTGATTGAGAAGTCATGATATAGTTAAAAATCATGATGACTATCATGATAAGACAAGTTTTTCTCTTTAATTAATTAGAAGTTTCAACATTCTTTTAACAATGTTTTTTTTTAACTTGGTTAAACAACTTTGTAGAAGCTATTCTATTAGACATACATAATATATATACTAATTTTACCTAGACTTTTAAATAATTATGTATCTTATCATTAATCAAGAGTTTTCTATCATATATCGAGGAAGATATGTTGGGATTTAGCAAGTGTGAATGGGAAAAGAAAAGAGAGAATGTGAAAAGTGAGGGAACTATTTTAGAGGGAAAATGAAAAATCATTTGCAAAGTGCAAATGAAAAGTCATTTCTCCCATATCGGCAAAAGAAAGGAAAATTGTTGTCCTTATACAAGGAAACACTTTCATTACTTCTTAAAGAACTAAGAAGAAAATGCCCCCTCGTGCCGTCGACGTCGCTCGCTCGGCCTCGGATTTGGATTTGGATTTGGATTTGGCAAATGATGTAATTGATTGATAAATTTTTTGGACAAAATTTATTTAATCAGTTTTTGTTAAATCAAATAAATCCTGTTAATATTATCTCTTATAAATTTGCAGGTAATGGTAACTTTTCGAAAAGTCGTTACTTTTCAAAAAAAATCGTTATTTTCCTAACAGACACATTTTTCTGAAAAGTTGTTATTTTTTCCAAAAGACACAACTTTCTGGAATAAACGGGTCTGAACAGACACGTTTCTTGCTGAAAATGGCTATAAAAAGAAGTCAATTTTCATTTTTTAAAACACTAAAAATTTTCCTTCTTTGCATTTATTTTTCTCTCAAATAAAATTAAAGTGTCGATCGACTGAGTCTGTGTGACTTATTGTTGTTCTAAAGTTCGTTGAAGTTAAAGAAATTTGAGGTACCGCTATTTCTTTAACAGGTTTAATCCGTTTTATCTTAGGAGAAATTAATCCATAACCTTGGGTACAGTGAGGGGATTAAATTTCTTAAGGACACACAGTAGTTTCTGTGGACTCGGATTACTTCTTGTATTTTATGTATTTTTTGCTTCTTCTTATTTCTGTTTCTATTTATTAACCTTATAAATACAGGTTACTATAAGAATAACAAGATACATATAGATATATGTATTTTTCCTGCTAGATACAATTAAATAGAGAGAAGCTAGCGAGATAATCATTATCACATATATGTAGTTGTACGTATCTGAAATACCAAGGAGAGCGGTGAGCGAGTTTTATCCATGTATATTATATACATGTGAATCCCACGTGGATATCGTGTATGTCGAACAAATCACACCTAATTTTGATCTCATGTAGCTGAACACACCAAAATCTAGTAAAATTTATAAGTATATTTAATGAGTTGATAACTTTAATGGTCACTCAACTATCAATTGTTTTCACATAAAGTCATTCAACTTTCATTTTTAACTCAAAGGTCACTCAATTATAACTTCTTTGCACAAAAAGTCACTCAACTTTCATTTTCAACTCAAAAATCACTCAATTATGAATTCTTTACGCAAATTGTCACTCAACATAATTAATTATTTTTCATTAAAATTTGGTGATGTAGAATTTTAATTATTAACCAAAATTTTAAGATTTTTTTGCACAGAAAATCACTCAACATAATTAATATTATATTTTTAGCAAGTTGGATTAAATGGGCGGGGTCATTAAATGAATTAAATGGATATAGATATTTTATTCTTAAAATTTTAGTTAATAACTAAAGTTTCATGTCATTAAATTTTAATGAAAAACAATTATATAGGTTGAACCATTGAATGACTTTCAGATCATAGTTGAGTGACTTTTGAGTTGAAAATGAAAATTGAGTGACTTTTTGTATAAAAAAATCATAGTTGAGTGACTTTTAAATTAAAAGTGAAAATTAAGTGACTTTGTGTGAAAATAGTTGATAGTTTAGTGACAATTAAAATCAAAATTATTAACTCTATATTTAATTAATAAATTTCTAAACTAGTGAAATTTCTATAAATTTCGTAAAACTTAACTAGTGACCCCCATAAATCCTACTTTTGCAAATATCTCCATTAAAGTAAAGCATTTACCCTTTTAAGGCATTGACTTGAGCGGGAAACCATTGTGCATTAGTATTAAGATTAGGAAGAAACCCTAAAAGAAGAGTAGCTTTTAGAGAAGAAGGAATCCACTCTCCATTAAAAGGTATTTTTCCTTCTTCTTCTTTCGTCACTGTATAATATTAAAATTGTAGTCTTATGATATTCCCTGTTTAATTATTTATATATATAACTTGTTGTGACTATGGGTTTGGAATATTATTTGTTTTTGCCCTATTTGGCGAAGGGAAAATAAATGGATTTTAATATTACATGTATGATATTAGTGTGAGATGAGTTTAAATAGAGGAAAATGGGTCAATAACGATTCATATAAACAAATATATTACTACAAGTTAAAAATGGGGCACATGAGCTCGTGATCTCTGTGTAAAACTAGGTATTTTATGTATATATTTTAACTACTGACACCTATGGTATAAAAGGACTAAATAATGCACTTGATTGGGTATTGATTTATTTGCGGAGCCAGAATTTTCACTGGGTTCTAAATCTGTAGAAATAGACACAGTAGCCGAAGAAAGTTCAACATCTATTATACCATGTTCTAAAAATCCTACATTCGCCTCTAGATAGGACTAATATGCAATGCGTGTTTATGGTGGTATTAGGCATAACTGTTTGTCGATTTATTAGAGTATAAGAACATATTTGTTAATACATTAATACAATAGTGTGCAAAAAGTTGTGTCATGTTCTGTTATCTTGGTTATTGACTAATAAGTGATAACTTGGATCAGCCAGGAGCTTGCTACACCAGTTAACTGCTTTAAAATGGAAAAAGAGGAAGAATCTAAGGTTGTTTTGAAGCTTTTGGTGGATGAAAAGAAAGATCAAGTTGTTGCAGCTGAAGCCAAAGTAGATTTTATGGACATATTCGTTAGCCTTCTTACTTTACCATTGGAAACCATAATACGACTCATTAAAGCAGAGGCTGGAGTTGTTGGTTGTATGTACAACTTGTACCAAAGTGTTGAAAACCTCGATGTGGAAGATCTGTTCATAGAGCATTGCAAAACCATGCTGCTAAATCCAAGAAATCCCTATTCGAAGTATTGTACCAGGTTGAAAGTGAACATAGATGATTCAGGCTCCGAGAAGTATTATGACTGTTCAGGTTGGACAACGCGAACGTATTGCTCAAAGCGAAGCTATTTCATGAATGTTGAGTGCTCATGTGAAGGTACGTTTAATCAAGAGACTATTCTATTTCATGAATGTTGAGTGCTCATGTGAAGGGACGTTTAATCAAGAGACTATTCTAAGTGAGTCTTGTAGTGATAAGTACGTATTTCTTATAGGAGGGATATCATATCTAATCAGTGACGACTTGCAATTCAAGCCTGCTTCTCTAACTACCCTTTTCCAGATGCTTTCTAATGTTGGCCTGAGTGATATGAATCAGATTAAGGAGATGAATGTAGAAGTTGGCAGGAACGAGGTATTGTCCTTTACCATCCGATTAATTAAAAGAATTAGTGATTACTACATTCTTAATAAAAAAAATTATGCTTTCTGATGATATGTTTTGCTGTGATTTTCGTAAATTGGCATTTGCAGCTAGTAACATGATCTTTTTCTGGACCATTTAGGTGATTCGTCTACTTGCTCGTTCATTTATTTCAAAGACTCCCTTGTCTGATGTGTTTCTGCCCAAGCAAAAACAAAGAAGGGCACAAGTAGACATTGTAACAATGTCCGAGTCTGGAAATTTGTCGTCCATTTCTGAAAATGGAACGAGTAATAGCACCAAGAAGTTGGAGCTGAAGCTAACAGTAAGGAAGTCTACAAAGAAGGTCTTGTGTGCAGAAGCAGACAATGATTTTATTGATTTTCTCTTCAACTTCTTGACGATTCCTATAGGATCAATTGAAGATGTTCTAAAAGGGAGTTCTGGCTTGAGATGTATCGATAACTTCTATAAAAGTGTGGAGGCTTTAGATTCGAAATGGTTCAATATGCCTCCAAAGCAGAATAGTTACCATAGTGAGGATACATCTAATGACAACTTTAAGACAGTATTACTCAAGCCCAATGTTGCCACACATTATAATTCTGAGTATCAGCTGCTACAGATTTCAGAAGGAAAATCAGAATTTTACAATTTGTATGATCCAAGGCAACATATAAGGGGTAGTCATGTTCCCAAATTTCGTAAGTTCGCAAAGGAACCCTCTGCTTTCTACGTTATGGACAATTTGGAAGTAAGACCTTTGTCTTCTGCATCAACTATTTGCCTACTTCAAGAACTAAATGTGCCCCTGAATGATATTGAAGAGCAAATGATCAGTGTTGGCGAGTCAGAAGCATTGAACTTGCTGAGGGCCTCTTTGACATCATCATCATCAGCTTTGACAGAGGGCTTAAATCACAAGTTGAGGCAGCAAATAGACGAAGATGTGAAGTGTAAAACGGAGAAGCTTTGTTAGCAAACACATAGATAACTCTCTTGTGTTTTAGCCTCAAAACTTGATCCCCTGTGGCCTGTACATCAAAACCTACATGCAGGGCCAAGTATTTTTTTGTTGACTTCTATAGATATGATTAGTCCAGTAAGTGTTAATTTTGTTCTAGTTGATAAGAGGGTGAATCTAATTACATGTCATAGCTGCAAGCTACTCTAAAAGTAACAACTCTTTACTAGTACTAGTAGATTTGCACCACTTTTTTTGTCATATGCTGTTCTTTAGCATCTGGTGCTAATGCAATATTCTCTATTTTCTATTTCTTGGATTGAAATTCTCATTCTGGATATTTTGTTTATTCTCACTGTTTCAAGATAATTGGTTTGCCTATAAGGAACGTGAGACAAGTAGTATATTATTGTTCTTGATAATATCATTTAGTATTTGGTTTTAGTGTTACTTCCAGTATTTTCCTTTGTATGAGATTTTATTAAAGAAAAAGACCATTTGATTTGAATTCACGCTGAACCTTATTAAGATTTTTTTTACTTGCTTTTAGTGAATGCTATCGAGATGAAACTATTAATTAAAGATGGAAGTAGGGGTGTGCATAGATTGGTTTAATCAATTAATCGAACCAGAAAAAAAAATGTTATTGGCTTTGGGTTATTGAATTAATGAATTTTAAATGTGAAGAAGATGATACAACTGCAAGAAAATAGACAAAGGAAAAAAGAAGAGATTGTCCCACTTAGTAAAAATAAATATACAATAACATACTCAATGAAATCCCACAAGTGAGGTCTGGGGAGAGTAAAGGCCTCTAACCACTACCTCGTGGAGGTAGAGAGGCTGTTTCCGAAAATGTAAAAATATAAATATATTTTGTAATAAGAAATTAAGTAGAATTCATAATGATTCATCATGAGGGAGGAAAAACAAGAGGCCAGAAGTTACATTTAGAGTGACTTGGAACTATGACAACATTAACTTCATGGAAACCTCCAAAACTGGTGGAAATAATAGAACTACAAAATGATGGATTCATATCTGAAAACACTTGCCTCTCCAACAAGGCTTTGATGTACAGGGGATCAAAAGATGAGTTTGCTAACCAGCACGACAAAGTTTCTTCACGTTACACTGCACATCTTCATCTATCTGCTTCTTCAACTTGTGATTTAGGGCCTCTGTCAAAGCTGATGATGATAATGTCAAAGAGGCCTTCAGCAAGTTCAATGCTTCCGACACAACAATCTATTTTTCAATCAGGTCTATTTCGATTTTGAAGATTCATAAATACGTACAATTTGATGCATTAAACATTGTGAGACTGTATTATAGTCTTTAGGGTGGCATTGGTTGTTTTTCAACAAGAATAGAGGATAAATAAACGTCCAGAAAATTACAACGTTAAAATAAGTATAACGAACATGAACTATTGAAGAAACCTCCAAAACTGGTGAAATAATAAACTACAAATAGATAATACAACTCTGAATCAAGGCTTTGATGTACAATGGAACCAAGTTTTGAGGCTATGTGTTATGTATGTGTTTGCTAAACAGCGCGACAAAGTTTCTTTACGTTACATTTCACATCTTCATCAACCTGCTTCTTCATGTTTTGGTTTAGGCCCTCTGTCAAAGCTGATGATGATGATGTATGTCAAAGAGGCCTTTAACAAGTTCAATGCTTCCAACTCGCCAACACTGACCGTTTGCTCTTCAACATCATTGACAGGCACATTTAGTTCTTGGAGTAAGCAAATAGTTGATGAACAAGACAGAGGCCTCACTTCCAAATTGCACATTTAGTTATATCGTCTTTAACATTTTTCTCATGCGTGTAACTGTTCCTATTGTTAGGTTGTGGAGCCTGATTAATATTTGATGTACTGTCGTATATTAATGTTCACGCGGTTTAACCTCTGCGGTGAGGTTGTCAGGGGGTTATGGGGGGTGGTTTAACAAAAGGAGTTGTTTGTGCTATATTTTGAATATATATATATATATATATATATATATATCTACACGTAAAATGTGTTAGCATGATATAATTGAGACCTTTTATAATTTACGAAGTAATAATACCTTATTATACGAGTATGTATTAATCAAAGTTGAACAAACTATGATTACCTATCATATCGTAAAATATCAAAATCGAACTTTAAAATACTTAACCATATTAATATAATATTTTAAAACCAAATAAAAAAATTATAATATCGAAACTTTCAAATATTATACCATATCTACCCTAGCCTCCATTCAGAGCGCAGCTACCTGTCATGAAAGGGGTTCAATTAGATTTCTTTTATTGAAAATTATTATGCACAAATAGGGTAATATGATATTTTTATGCATTGCGTGATCCTCCTAATCTAGGAAATAATTTTGGGGTCATTTGATAGTAAGTTATGCAGGCATTAGATCATGTGTAAGTAATAACGCTATCTGTTCTGATTTATATGTCATTATTTTAGATTTTACGAGTATTAAGGAACTAAGTAAGTTTAATATTTTATTCTTATTTTTTTTGAAACTCAAGTTTTCAATCAATGAATATGAGGTAATTTATTTTGATTAATTAATTTAACTAATGAACATGAATCATTTATTGAACTTTTCTAAGTTGATCAAATGTATATTTCAAGGCTAATAATTCACAAGGGTTAAAAAAAGGAAAAATATGCTAATTTATACATTAATTTTATAAAATGACAAGTATTATGAACCAACTATTTATAAAAAGAATTGACATATAAAAAAGAACGAAGAAAGTAACATTTTTGATAGTTAAATATGAACTAAATTATTCATGTATGGATTTAATAATATGTTAGGTTTGTTGTTTAGAAATCCACTCAAGTGCATACATAGTTTGATTCATAACAAAAATTAAAGACTATTTAAGATAAGAAGAGGCCAGCCCAACATCAAATTAAGCCACAAAAAAAGGAGTTCAGTTCTGTCCTAGCGCAAAGACCCAACCAGCTAATCCTCCCTCATCGCCTATAGAGAAAAGCTATGTGGTATTTATATTGTAGAACCTTATCAGTGTAGTTTGTCCCTTCGGGGACATCCGATAAAATTGGAACGATACAGAGAAGATTAGCATGGCCCCTGCGCAAGGATGACACGCACAAATCGAGAAATGGTCTAAATTTTTTTTGCCACACAAACACCAAAGTTTTGAGACTTAGAGCCTGTTTGGCTCAGCTTAAAAGCTGGTCAAACTGACTTAAAAACTGATTTTTGACTTATTTAACTGTTTGGCAATACTCAAAATAACTTATTTTAAGTTTAAAAAAAACTTATTTTAAGCCAAAAGTTAAAAGCTGGGATAGGGGTGCTTTTTCTTTTTTAGCTTATAAGTTGTTTTAAGTTGACCAAATTTTTATCTTTTTGCCCTTAATATTTTTATACAATCTTCAAATATAACCCTAACATTTCTTTCTTTCATTTTTCCATTTTCACGTTTGGCATAGCAACTTCAACACTTTTATCCAAACGCATAACTGCTTATTTTAAAAATAAGTTTCAGCACTTTCAAAAGTACTTTTTAAAGCTGTTTTTATTAAGCCCATCCAAACAGGCCCTTAACGTAACAAGTGAGTGCAAAATACAATGAGAAGTAACTGCAAAAAGTTAATAACATGTATTTGCTAACCAGAACAAAGAAGTTTCTTTGCATTAGACATCACATCTTTGTCTCTCGGATTCTTCAACATGTGGTTTAGGCCTGCTGTCAATGCTGATGATGTAGACGTTAAAGAGGCCTTCAGCAAGCTCAATGCTTCCAACTCGCCAACACTGATCATTTGATCTTCAATATCATGCAGAGGAACATTTAGTTGTTGGAGTAAGCAAATAGTTGATGTAGAAGACAATGGTCTCACTTCTAAATTGTCCATAACATAGAAAACGGAAGGTTCCTTTGCAAACTTTTCAAACTCACTACTACGATTATTACCTACGGATTGTCTTGGATCACTAAAGTAAAGTTCAAACCCTTCGTTAATCTGCAGAAGGATTTATGCTAAGGGGCTATACCAGGCTTGAGTAATATCATCTTAAGAGTCTTCTCATGTCTGTGTATATTCATATCTGGAGGCGGCGTATTGAACCATTTTGAATCTAAATTCTCCACACTTTTGTACAAGTTATCTATGCATCCCAACCCAGAATTCCCTTTTAGAACATCTTCAATTGATCCTAGAGGAATCGTCAAGAAATTGAAGAGAGAATCAACAAAATCATTGTCTGCTTCGGCACACAAGACCATGTTTGTAGACTTTCTTACTGTTAGCTTCAGCTCCAATTTCTTAATGTTATTCCTAGTTCCATTTTCAGAAATGGAAGATCCAAACTCGGTCATTGTGATAGTGTCTACTCTTGTCCTTTTTTGTTTTTGCTTGGGCAGAAACACATCAGACAAGGGAGTCTTTGAGATCAATTTACGCACAAGTAGATGAATCACCAAAATAGTCGAGAAAAGGTAATGTTACTAGCTGCAAATGTCGATATACAAAGCATGTAGAACATACAAGCAACCACATAAAGATACAATTTTTATATCAAGAATTCGGATGGTAAAGGATCATATTACCTCATTTTTGCCAATTTCTACATGCAGCTCCTAGATTTGATTCATATCACTCAGGCCAATATTCGGAAGCATCTGAACAAGCGAGCTTGGAGAAGCAACCTTGACTTGTAAACCGTCAGAGATTAGAAATGATATCCCTCCTTTAAGAAACACATACGCATCGCCACAAGTATTTTCAACTGAATCTTTCAGAAACATCTCGTTGTTATACTTCCCATTACATTTGCACTCAACATCCATGTACTAGCTGTTGTATCGACAATTTGAACACTTATAATATACTTAGATCCTGAATCATTCAAGTTCACTTTTAACTTCATGCAATATTCTGGATATAGATTAATCGGATTCAGTAACAAGGTTTTGCAATTTCTCTATGTACAGATCTTACTCATCGAGGTTTTCAACACTTTGGTACAAGTTATTCATACAACCAACAGTTCCAGCCTCTGCTTCAACGAGTCGTATTATTGTTCCCATTGGTAAAGTGAGAAGGCTAACAAGTATGTTGTTGAGCTAAAGTGTATAGTTCAAAAGTTAGTTATTAGTTAGTTACAATTAGTTACAAAAGTTTGTTATGATTAATTGTAGTTAGATATCTTAACTAGTCTAGTTAGTTAGTTGATTAACATCTATATATAGTGATGTATAGATATCAATGTACACTTACTGCATTCATAAAATTCAAACAGAAGTTTCTTCCTTCTTCTTCCTTTGGCCTGCTGTTCATCAGTTTATGCACCTTTGTTGGTGCTTTTCATGGTATCAGAGAAA